ATAAAGAAGTCATAACTTAATGGAGGTATAATTACAAAAATTATAGTTTTGATTTCTTATTTTATAATTTATGTTTTAGCAGTACAATATTAGGATTTCAATTCATATTTTAGTAATATTAGAATTTCAATACAGCGTTTCAATTGCCTACTTTTGAAACAGATAAAAGATTGTTTCTTAGAATCAGCAAAAATAAGTGTCATTGATGAAACTGTAAATACAGTTGATACATGGTCAATTGGTGTGAAGTCACAGACAATTGTCAATGGTTTTAAGCGCTGCAAAATAAGGATCACTTATGTCAATGAATTGTAAGTTACAAATAAAGTGGACAAGGAGAATTAAAGAGTCATTATAGAATTAAGTGATCAGATTTGAAAAATTCACTACATTAATCGAATGGATATTAATGTCTTCTTCGATTATTCAAATGAGTAACAAATTGTGTATACTTTAACCAAATGAGAAATCATTGTTGCAATTAGACAAGAAGAGAAAAGAAATAATCCTAAGGATAATAGTACGAAAATACAAAAAGTCATGTGCCATGAAGCTCTAAACATGCTTGAGAAACTAAAAATATTTTGCTTTCAACAAGAAGGTATCCATGCTAACGAGCTATTACGTACTTGTAAGGTAAAAGATATGATAACAACTCTAAAACATAAATAATTGTCCCAAACAATTTTATATAAATATTTTATTTTATTTTAAACCTTTAATTTTATATAACATATTTTTTTTTATAATATACAGATAATTATTACTATGTAGAGACAATTTTCCTTAAGGTGGGAATATGAAAAATTATAATATGAAAAATTATAACTTATTACAATGTAGAGTTTATTCTTATTTATAACTATCCCAAATTGGAACTAAAATTTTTTATGACTATGTAGAATTTATTATCACTATAGAGAGGTTTTACTTTATATAGAATCATGTGATCATTTTTCTTTATATTCATATTATATATAACAACAGTAGTAGACTGGTAAATAACATTAATCCATAAACTTATAACATGGAACTATAGAATTCTAAAATACAAATCATAAAATGGAACATGTCATATTAGGTAGGGCTGGAAAAAAAAAAAACCAAAAACCGAACCGAACCGAAAAACCGGACCGAAACCGAACCGAAAAACCGATTTTTCAAATCAATCGGTTCGGTTTCGGTTTTCAAAAATAATTAAACCGAATTTTCGGTTCGGTTAACGGTTTAAGAATAATATTAAACCGGTTAACCGAACCGGTTTTGAAAAAAATAAAAACATAAAAAAATCCCTTATTTTTTCCCCCCCTTTTTCTTGGTATTAGCTACGCAGACCTGCAGTCTGCTACTTGCGCATTTTCTTGGGTTTGGTTCTCACGCAAATACTTCTTTTCTTTCACTATTTTCTTTCTTCTTCTTCTTCTTTCTCCTTTCACTTCTTTCTCTGTCTTTTTTCAGTTTTTCTTCACATTTTCGTCTTCTTCTCTTCCTCTCCTTCACCAACTTTTTTATCTTTCTTCGTTTTCTTTCTCCTTTCACTGCTTTCTCTTTCTTTTTTCAATTATTCTTCACATTTTCGTCTTCTTCTCTTCCTCTCCTTCACCAATTTCTCTTTCTTTTTCGTCTTCTTCTCTTCGTCTCCTTCTCCACTTTTCTTTTTCTTTTTCGTCTTCTTCTCCTTTCACTTTTCTGTTTTTTTTTTCTTTTTCGTCTTCTCCATTTCTTCTCTTTCACAGCTTTTCTGTTTAGATTTGGATAAGAAGCGAGAACAGAACACCATGATTGGACTTCAGCCTCCTTCTCCTTCATCGTTTGGTAAAGCATAATTTTAATTCTAAGTAAAAAAAAAAGGAAAAAAAAAATGGGCCAAATGGAGTGTGACGACCAAAATGGGCCGAAAAAAGCAGCCCATAATTCATAATTGGGCTAAATAATGCAACCCAATATTTAACCGGTTTAAAACCGGTAACCAAACCGAATTTTCGGTTCGGTTCATAACCGGTTTTTAACCGAAATCGGACCGTTTCGGTTCAATATTTTTTTAAACCGAAAACCGGTTCGGTTCAAGTTTTTGGTTAAACGGTTCGGTTAACCGGTTTTTTCCACCCCCATAGTAGGTAACATGTTACAAAATTTGATGTTAAAGGTCCTTATCAAAACAAAGAAAAATGCTAAGTCATTATTAGGGCGATGATATTACTGTAAATAACACGTATAGTAAATGCATTCGCGTAGAAAGCCATTTCAAACTATCAATATATCCATGTATTAGAAAGCCTTGGGCCAAAGTGATGGGCTTTACCATGTGAACATTAATAATAAGAAAACAAAAAGGAAAATGGGAAATTTTACCAATGATCATAAAATATATAGTTCTTTTATTTAACAAACAAAATTTTGCTTTTCTTGATACAAGAAAAGTTTAATTGAAATTTGGTTTTTTTGTTTTTTCTATCTTTAAAAGTTTACTTTGGTATTAAAAATCAAAATTAATGAACAATCATGATTGTATTGTAAAGGGAATGATATTGATTGAGTCATTCTATTATAAAATTTTACTACTTCACTTGATTTTTGAGTTAAATAACAAAAAAAAAATATATATATATATTAATAAAGTAAAATAAATAAGCTCTATCAAGAACAGAAAAATCTACAAATCTCCTATACTTTCTTGGCCACACTAAGGTCTAGCAAATTTAAAAACTATTACAAGCACTTCTTGTCATCATGTCTTAGAAGAAGTTGAACGCTGCTTCATCTTCACAAATAGCATCTCTGAAACCCAGGCCGTTCAATTATGGCTGTTGGTTAGCAAACTCATCCATTTCTCTCTACAAAGCAAAAGCAATTAGCCAATAGTTAATTAACGTAACATAGGCAAAAGAAAGGTTAAAGGGTATGGCTAATCACCTAGATTAAAACTATTATCAATGAAAATATATAGAAAGAAATTAACCTAAATTTAAAACCTTCTGCCTCTTCCCGTTCGATTTTTGCAAATTGGACTTGATTTTGATGAGTCTAGTTACTACTTCTTATGTTGATCCTCTCTAGAGGTGATTCTCCTGTACACTCCATAGCTAAACTCAAGATAGATGACACACATTCTTCCTTTCTAGAGAAATGTTCATCATCCTTCTTAGCAAATGTGTGCAGAACGCCATCACTGTGTTGCATAATGATTCACCAACCCAACTCCTTAAGCTCATTTCTTCATTAAATCTTATCTCTTGGCTTCTTCCCAGTAAATGTTTCCATTAGCATAATTCCATAGCTGTAAACAACTCCTTTCCTAGATAGTTTCCCTTCTCTTCCATATTCTGGTAGTGATCATGCACTTTCATTGTTAGATTACAATAATTAAATTTTCCTTACAAGAGAGAAAACATAAGTTAAAAAAAAAAAAATTAGAAATAATTACCTGGTGCCATATAACCAATGGTGGCAAGGGTCTGTGTTGTGTCATAGGTCTTTTCACCTAAGAGCTTTGCGATGCCAAAATCACTTAAATGTGCAACCATATTTTCGTTAGCAAGACATTGCTAGGCTTTAAGTCACAATGGATGATGGGATTTGAATAACCAAAATGGAGATATTCCAAAGCTGATGCAACATCAATCATTATGGTTAACCTATGGATATGTCCAAAACATTGTTGTCAGAAACAAGCATTTTTCGAGGCTCCATTGGGCATGTACTCCAGTATCAAAGATTTAAAATCATCATTTGAACAACAGCTGATGATTTTGACAAGATTTCGATGACGAATGACATCATTACTTCACATTCAACTTCAAAAATTGTAAATGCCTTCAAGATGCAAGTGGAATACCTTTACGCAAGCTCCATCCCATCATCTAATCTTCCTTTGTAAACTGAACCATAACTTCTCTACACAAGCAGGTTTCTCACTAAATCATCCGTTGCTCTCACTAGTTCATGTTGAGAAATTCTTCTCCATGTTTCTTGTGGTAACATATCAGCATTGTAGATGGCTTTGTGCGCTTTTTTAGGCATTTGATCAACACAAATGTAAGAAGCAGGAAACTAACGTGAACATAATGCTTAGTATCAAAACAATCGGCAGGAGAGCCTTTTTAGTCCTGATTTCGATGAGTGCTTTTTTGCACTGGTAAAACTTGTAGTTGGGGAGAACCACACAAGCAAGATTACCTGTAAATGATTGAGCCGAGAAGTTTCCAAAGACCCTCCAGTAGGAATTTCACCACTTAATCGGTGAGAAGACAAGTTTAGATATTTGAGGTACAAGAGTTTTTCTAAAGACTTAGGAATACTCCAAAGAGAGGTTATTAGACAAATCCAAAAACACCAAGCTTGTCAAGTCACTAAAAGACTCAGGAATCTGGCCTTGCAATCTATTAGATCCTAAAGAGAGATTTTGTAGATTTTTTAGGTTTCAATAATGATTGGAATATTGCCAAACAAAAAATTCTTTGACAAATCTATATCTACCACAACTTTCAGATTTTGAATTCTAGTGGGAGAGATCCATTTAGAAAATTTGATGACAAATTAAAGTGCAAGATGTCCTTAAGTTGCCATAAAGTTGAGGGTATGATAGAAGTTAACTATTGAAGGCTAACGATAGCATTCTTAAGGTATTGAGATTACCCAAGCATGCAGGTATGGATCCATAAAATTGTTACCATATTTGCAAGTCAACTAATTGATTCAAATGACAAAGATGATCCGGGATGGATCCTTCATATTATTATTTCCAAGGTTCAACCTGGAGTTTTTGTAGCCCACCAAGTGAAATGGGATAGACCCAATCAATTCATGTTTTGTAACTGTATATCTATCAAGTTGTTTAAGTTTTGATTTCTTTGGGAATGTTGCCACTAATATTGCAATCATTCAGTAAACATTTTCCAAAGAAGTAGAGAGATTCCCTATGGAACTTGGAAGGATGCCATTGAGCGGATTTCCTTTTAGCTCTAGATGTTTAAATTCTTGCAATTTGTCAAAGAGGAAAGAAAGCTCAAATTTGTGTAGAAGATGTCAAGAAATTATCCGACAAAACAAGCCACTCAAGATTTCTTAAAATGCCAATTGTAATAGGAATAAAACCTGAGAATGAGTTGGCTGAAATATCTAGATGGAGAGCCTGGATAAGTTGGTGATAAAGTTGGGAAATGTCCCACTAAAATCATTTAAATCCAAGTAAAGACCCTCAAGATTTGGAAGTTCAATGTTTGATGGAAGAATCATTCCTCTGAGTTTATTTCCGGGAAGTCCAAGTTGTATCATCGTTGAGATATTGAAGACAGTTGTTGGGACCAAACCAACTAAGTTGTTAAAATCAAGGACCAAAAACTGTAGATTATGAAGATTACCAACTTCACTTGGTATCTCACCTGAAATTAAATATGACCAAAAAACTGTGTTGGATTAAGTTACAGCAAAGAGAGGATTACTACACTTCATTCATTTATCTATTTTTTAGCATTGCGTTTCTTTATTATAATGTTTAGGCACATTAATTTTTAGATCAAATGTTTTTATTAGTTTCGTATTAATATATATGAGATTGAGGCATAGTGGTAAAATATATTTAACAATTAATTAAATATATATTGGAACCAGTATATAAATATATTTATTTTCAATTATAAATTTTTTATAAAAGATTGCATATGTCATACCTTGGAGTTTATTGTTCGGAAGATATAATTCCTCAAGTCGAGTCAAGTTACCATTTCTTTTGGTATGGCTCCTGTGAATTAACTCAGTTACAATCTCATTTATTTAATAGAAGAAGATCAAATCCAAACACAAAGAGAGAGAGAAAGAGAGAGAGAGAGAGAGAGCAGTCACAATTAAGAATTAAGATCACACTTTAAATATCAAGTATAACCTTCAATATTTGATTTAAATCAAAATGAAGGAATAATAATCGTTTGTCTATAGAGATGAAACTAATTGACTTCAAGATGATATAGCCATATAAAATTCTAGTGAATAATGATATTGAAGAGTACAATGGACTTGCATATATGATATACATATTATACCTTGGAGATTATTGTCGTCAAGATGCATATTTGTAAGTTGAATCAAGTTTCCAATATCTTTTGGTATCGATCCTGCAAAAAAAATTGGAGAATAAGATATCTATACCGTTCGTTTCTCTTGCGGATCGACCGAGACATTGTATGATGAGTAATAATGTAGATGAGATAGTAAATGCTAAAAAGAAAAAAAAAAATTAGTCAAACTTTTGTGAAATTAAAGTTGTATAGTTTTGTCTTTTTTATTATTATTATTATTATGTTGTTTTGTTACCAAGAACAAGACTTCCTAAACTGGGCAAACCCTCTGTCAGTGGCAAATATATTAGTAATCGTTCATGTAATTCAAACATGATATCACAGGGAAGCAAACCCCTTGGCTCAACCTTTTACCACTCGGTCAACCAATTGTTGACTGTCTTTTATTATATTTACTGCTACCCATATACATGGATCCAAATTTAAAAATAAAAATGTTTGCATTCCCGCATGATAAACTATGTTTTTTCTAATGGTTAGCTGTTCATAATTGAGGAGGAATGACCCAAAAAGAAATATTCAAATTTGTAACTCGATGGTAATGGATCACTACGCGTGAACAGAAGTAACTACCAATTCATAGGATCTGTGGTACCACGTCAGCCGCACCACCAACCAATACACTGTTGCCGTATACCCATCATCGGTTATCATTATTTATCAAAATTTTAGTCAAATTTTCTTATATGGAAACTATAAAAAATTGCCTTTAAACATTATCCATGTCAGTAAATAACAGTTCAATTTTAAAAAATGTGCAGTTTGATAAATTTCATATATATATATGCCTTGAAAAAAATGTAGCAACTGGACTAGGCAGTTACGGTTTAAAATGTACCAGTGAGCTGATTATTCTGAAAAGTTAATAACTCCAGTCGTGTACAATTGCCCAATTCTCCTGGAATTTCTCCTACAAAATCAACATATATTATTAACAAAAATTCTAAAACAAAAACTCTATATATCAATTAATATTAGAGAAATCATAGTGGTCAAAGAATTATATATTTGAGATTGAGAAAAAAAAATTTATGCATGCCAATAACTTCTGCATATATACCTTGGAGTCTACTGTGTCCAATACGTATCTCCTTAAGCTGCGTCAATTGTCCAATTTCTTTTGGTATGGCTCCTGTGAAATAATTGTACGACAAAGATAAGGATTGCAAGCCTCTGCATTTTGATAAAGTGGATGGTATTTCGCTGCTGAACATGTTTCCATCCAAAGCAAGCGTTTCCAAACAAGGAAGATAATCAAAAGTAGCTTCAGGGAGTCCACCGGATAATCCATTATCACCCGCGTCAATATATAATAACGAAGGCATGTTGAAAAAAATGGAAGGGAAGGAACCAGAGAGTTGGTTATGATATAAACTAAGTAACTGCAGTGAAGATATGTTGAAGATGGAGGTGGGAATGGAACCTGAAAGCTGATTATAATCAAGATGAAGTTGTTGTAACGAAGACAAGTTGCCAAGGGACTGAGGGATAGTCCCTGAGAATTTGATTTCATTCAAACCCAAAAATTGAAGTTTGGTTAAGGAGGCCAGCCATAACGGGATCTGTAAATTGAAGTTATTGTAACTAAAATCAAGGTATTTAAGACGACGTAATTGAGCTAACTCATCCGGGAGAGAGCCATAAAAGCTGTTATTTTGGAAGCCTAGAATTGTGAGGAAAGAAAGATTTCCCAGTTGAGGAGGAATGATGCCTGTAAGATTAAAGGAAGAAATATCAAGAATTGTGACTCTATGGTGACGGGCACCACAACGGATTCCAATCCAGTTACAAACAGAGGTAGTTGTGGACCAATTGGTGGCCAATAAATTGCTAGGGTCATGGGTTATATGAGCTTTGAGTGCAAGAAGAGCTTGTTGGTCTGTGATAATGTTGGTTTGTTTTGCACCAACAAAGGAAAATACAAGAAACTGAACAAAGAAAGCCATGAATAAAATGCAAAGAGAATGATTTGTCTCCATGAGAGGACGAGGCTTTGTGTATAGGCCAAGGACTCACCTGTGATACTCACATATATAAAGGGTGGAATTATATGTACACATGTTAGAAATATTTCATTAATTTTTTACCACATGCATGGTAAAGTTAATTTTCTTCCTTGAATTGGACGGCCCTCATCCCTTCAAACACGTAGTGCGTAAAGGAGTCAACTTGGATAGTGACTGAAGGAGAAAGGCTTTCTAAGTGCGAGTTAAGATAAGGTTATATTGTTATCCACTTGATAATATCAAGGAGTGCTAACTCATGTCACATGTCCAAACAGATATAATAAACGTTTGGATAGAGATTTACTTACAACTCAATCTTATAAATTTTCTCTCATAATTTTGATATAATAACTCATAATTGATTAATTCACAATTAAGCAATCAGGACCTATAACGAGCAAACGAGACTTATTTATAAACTAACTAGTTGAGAGTTGTTATATTCAGATTGTAAAAGCAAGTTTATGAGATTAAGTTGTAAGTGTAATATTGTCCTAAAAATTTTAATTTATTAAAATGGAACATGTGGCACAAGGAGGATTGGTGTCTATGGCACTTGCGATTGTTGCTAACACTTTTTTAAATAATATTAAGATTACATAAATTCATTGGAGGGTGGAATGAATGATGTGACATTTCATTGTATTTTAGATTTTTTTCTAATAAGTTATTATTTAATGTGACAATAAGGTTAACAGGCACTATTGGCTATTACAGATACATTGTTGCAATTATAAATCTACTATTTGTCGAAACACCAAAATAAGTAGTTATTTACATTGGCTTTTACAAATGCATTGTTATAATGATAACTATGCACAGTAGCTTCATAACGTTTTGGGGATGGATAGCGATTGAAGTGTTAGAAGATGTAATAGCGGAAAACGTTGAGATAATAATCACTAAAAAATTAGATATGATATTTAATGTGATTCAGTATAACTTATTTATATTCACAGATAAGAGAGAGATTTATTATAATAACGTCCATATGAATATACAAGAATATACACATTATAACTGAATACCTAATCCAATGCTAATTAACAGAGTGAAAACACAATCACAGTTTTTGTACTTAATTCTATGGTGTTTAAACGATCATTTGTGTCATATACCCTATACAATCATTGTTCTTTTATAATTTTGAATTGATTCTCACCTATATATTTATTGGTGATATAAGAAATATTTTATTTCTAATAGAAATCTCGTTCTATTACTAATAACACTCTTGTTTTCTTTGTTTTTAATAACTTTCATATTCTTTATAATAATTTTACACAAAATAATAATAATAATAATAATAATAATAAAATAAAAATAAAATCATATAGGAAAGTGAGTCATAATATCACAAGAAGAAGACGACAACAACTACCATGGACCCATTAATTAATAATTGCGTCTTTTTTCTAACACTTTCCCTACGCATGTCCATCAATTATGTGAGAAACCTCTCGTTCACATTTAGAAAAGAGTGATGCTATGGGTACTAATGGATGGGTATTAATCTGTGTACTAACTAAAGCATAGTATCCGTACTATGCGTATAGTACCCGTACTATGCTTTAGTTAGTACACAGATTAGTACCCATCCATTAGTACCCAAAGTATTATTCTTTAGAAAATGAGTGATGCTATGGGTACTAATGGATGAGTACTAATATGTGTACTAACTAAAGCATAGTATCCGTACTATGCGCATAGTACAGGTACTATGCGCATAGTTAGTACACATATTAGTACTCATCCATTAGTACCCAAAGTATTATTCTTAGAAAATATCTCCTTATCCCTTCTACTACACGTATTGCTCAAAGAAGTCAACATGGATAATGACCAAAGGAGAAATGCTTGCCTTACAATTATACATTATTTCATATTTGCCAACTGGAGATTATTACTTTTGAGACCTCGGTCACCACAATTCGATGCGCATATGGCCCCAAAAATGGAACTTGAACACCTTCAACACGGTCAATAATGAAAAGATAAGTACTCTTGACTATTCTTTGTTATTATTAGTCTTCATCTATATACGTTACTGGTTGACCATAAAAATCAACTCAATTACCATAAAGATCATCCATTTTCTTCTCTAAACAAATCATGAAGAACACTACTCCACCAACAGTAAATTAAACAAATTAACATATCTTCTTATAAATTGAAAATAAACTTAAATGTATTATATATCTTTAGATAATTCGTGTATGTTAGTTATCATTGAAAGCCGACTAGACTCGACTGATTGGACTTGAGTGACTCGAGTTTATTTAAATTACTCGGGTTTGTCCACCAGTCTTCGAAAAAGTAAGTTTTCAACCCAATTTGAATTAACACAATTTTTTTTTCTTTGTTTATACATGAAACATATTTTCGACATTTCATATATCTTTTTATAGTAAATTATTTAAAAAAAAACTGAGATATCCAAGCTAGCTTAGACGCATATTAACTAATCCCCATGAGGTCCTTTGAATACCCTAAAAACCCAAAAGACCAAAGTAACAAACAATATTATCGTGGTAAGTGGCCTTAAGGTTTGAATTTATGAACTCAAAGAAGAGAACAAACCTCCTAAACTGTTAGGCCAACCCCTTGAGGTTCGAAAAACCATATTATTTATATATGTCAATCTCCAATCAAAAGCTTTTTTTTTTTTTTTTTTTTTTAATTTTTCATGGGACTAGTGGTATTCAAGTGATTAAAAGAAAGCAATAGAAGTGTTCAGAGGTCGTACTTGCAAAATCATTTAAAAATGGTTAATTTTTAATGTAACATTTTAAAAAAGTGTCAACTAAGTAAATTTCTCCTTAATTTTAAATATCAGTATCACAACAATGAGAAATGCCACGATTCGTTTGGTACACATATTGGGAAAACTTTTTCAGTTTTCCCAAGAAAATAAAGTTTGTTTCACCTATTTTCCAAAATATAATTATAAATTTTTTAATTTCCTTTAAACCCTCTAAATTTGTTAATTTAACTAAACAACTCTCAATTTTTTTTTTAAAAAATTGACAAAAACACCAAATTTACCAGATTCTGACCACCACTGGCGGAAGTTGGCCAGAATTTGGTGTAATAGCGCACTATCGGTTGAATCTGGCCGGTGGTGCATTGATCTAGCTTTTTTCTGCCAGATCCATGGTGGATATGGCCGGAAAAGACCAGATCTATAGCCAAAGATCTGGCTGTCAACGGCTAGATCTTTGGCAGTTGACAGTCAGCAACGACGGCCAAGATAGGGTTGTCGTTGACCATCAACGATGGTCGTATCTTTGACCATCATTGACGACCAAATGCGGCTAGATCTGGCCGTCAATGGCCAGATCTAACCACAGATTTGACCTTTCCGACCAAATCCACCATATCGGCGCACGACCGATAAGATCCAGTCGGTCATGCACCGATACGGGGATTCTGGCCACCCTCTGGCGGTGGTGGCCAGCTGTCCGTATTTAATGGGTGGATTGGGGGTGTTTTTGTTAACTTTTAATGTTTTATTATATGGGTGTTTAGTAAATAAACAAACATAGGGGGTAGTTTTATTAATTTTCAAATCTTACATAGTAATACCTGCCCAATTCAACTTTTTTTTAACTTTTTTCAAAAAACTTTTCTAAAAAATGTAAAAAAGTGAACCAAATGGAGCCTTTATTAGGGTCAATAAATGCATGGGCCTAAACGGCCTTTTAAAATTTAAAAGCCATGAGCCATCCATGTCTTAGAAAGCCTTGGCCCAATAGTGGTGGGCTTGATTGGCTAGTGATAGGCTGCTAGCTATACTGTTCTTTTTCTTTCACGCATAAAATTTTGCAGTTCTTGATGTGAGTATAGTTTAATTCAAATTTAGGTTTTTAGCATTCATCGATAATCAGTCATTCTCTCCAACTATGTTATTTTCAGAAGTAAGAAAATTTTACAGAAAATCTGTCTTTTAGATTTTTTTTTTTTTTTTTTTGGTAATAGTGAGAAAGATTACTCTAGTTTTTGAAATCAAAATGAATGAAAAGTAATCACTAATCAGTGTACTGTAAAGGGAATGCTATTTATGTTGAGTCATTTTTATCATCCAATTATACTTCTTCACTTGGGTTTTAAGTTAAACATAAATATTTTTACAAAAACTAAATCTAATCCATGGCTATTAAAAATGGGAAAATTCTACAAACCCCTTGTAATTTTTTATTTATTTATTATCGAGGGTATTTGGACCAGTTTGTGTGCACTTCAACTAATCTTTTAGGGTTCTAGAACCGCTGGTGGATAAGAGATCCGGTGGTCACCTTGATTAATGCTTGGAGGGACTCGAATTCAGGAGTTCATAAAACCTCTTTTTACTCTTTTACCATCAGATTATCCAATGATGGTTAACCTTTTGTACTTTGGCTTTACCACTCACTAAGGTGTATCAAATTTGAAAACTCATTACAAGTAATTCATTCTTGATCAAAGCTTGACCATAAAATATGACCCACTTTGTCAAAAATGAATTAAGAAAGCTAAGAAAATGCGAAGAGAAAGATTTATCTCCATGAGATTAGAATGTTGCGTGGTTTTAGTGTGGGCACAAGAGTGATACTTCTAAATAAACAACGAGATGATTATTTCCAAAGACCAACTTTACCACAGCAAGAAAGCTTGCCTCATGATACATTTTATATACTGTAAAAAATTTGATACCATAAATTACATCCCATTCACCTGTAAAAATTGTGCTAGTAAGAAAAAGAGAGATTTCTTTTTGGCAACGGTTCTTTTTGTTTATTAAGTTGAGGGGACCGAAAGCTTATAAGCTAATCGATATTTTCATTCCCCAGCACTATGAAACTTAACAGTAATTCTTGTTTATGCCAAGATGATTAAACAACAAGATGCACAAACAGTCTTAGCAGTGACAAAACTAGAGTCAATAGTCAAGACTTTTGACTTGTATTTAATTTGAAGTTTCTTTGAGTAGAATAATCTCTTAGATCTTCAGTGTTTGAGTGGTTCTGATTTGTTTATATTATATCTACATGGCTACTAGGTGAACAAATAGTCTTGAGCAGTGACTAGTCATCCCAACCAGGCCCTAATTTTGGATTGATGGAAGACTACTTGCTCGTATTTTATCTAAACTTTGAATAATCTCTTTATCTCTCCAGTGTTTGAGTAGTACTCATTTGTTTTCCTGGATAACAAATCAAGGTATAACCTCTTTACTTAGTAGCATTAAAATAAAAATGAATGAACAATAATCATACTGTAAAAGGAATGATATTGAAAATGTTGAGTAATTTTTATTATCAAATTGTACTAAGTGTTGGATTTAAGCATACATGCTAGCGCGCGCACCAAAAAAAAAAAAAGAGGGAATATAATTCATCTTTATTAAAAATACAAAAATTCTACTAGCGTTTGGTTCGGGGAATGTTAGATTACTGAGAATGTTGGATTACTGGAAAGATATATTACTTTAAAGATTACTGGGAATCTTTAAAAAAATATGTTTGGTTAGTTAGTGGGTATGTTATATTAATATGTTTGGTTATGGGGAATAAATTGGTGGATATGTTATTTAAATTACTAAATTGTCCCGTTTTTAAATATTAATATAATATTATTTTTATTATTAATTTTTGAACAATTTCTTTTAACCCATAATATTTCAGATTTAGCTAAAACACCCCGCTTATATAGAACTTTAATTTATGACAAAATCACCCCTACCTCCTGCCGCCGCCTGCTGCCACCACAAACCACCGCCGAAAGTCTCCGAAAGTTCCCTTGAGCAGCTCACCGTGACCAAGAGGCTCCGAGATGGCTGTTTCTGGCCATATTGATGGCCGAAAACGGCTATATCAAGCCAGATCTGGCCGAAAATGGCCAGATCTATTCTGGCCATTTTCGACCAGATCAATGGATTTGGTTGTTAACGGCCATATCGAAGCCTCCCACCGAATCTCGTTCTTTTTTATGGACTCCGACGACTTTCTGGCGGTGGTTCGTGGTGGTTGGCCAACTGTCGGCGGTGGTGGCTGGGTGGCAGTGGTGGTCTATAAATTTTTTTAAATATAAGGGCATTATTGTCTAAAATTTTAATTATACAAGAGTAACATTGAAATAGGATATTAATGTAAATTTCTTTTAAAACATGGGCATTATTGTCAAAAACTTTTATTAATAAGGGATAAAATTGTAACAAAAAAAGATAACCTTTGTAATCTTAAAATATCTAAGAAAATGGAGATAATCAGATTACTTCCAATATTATCAATAGTAACCACTATTGGTATTTAAAGATTACCGGTATTTTATATTATTTGACAACCAAACATGATGATCAAGTAATATAAGATCACTTACCCCCAGTAATGTCAAATACCCCCTAACCAAATACCCCTTTAATACTTTGTCTGTAGTACACTAAGCTCAATCGAATTGAAAATAATAATAATAATTACAACAAGTACTTCTTGAGCAAAGTTGACCATGAAATATGAACCTTGTCATCAAATAAAGTCTCAGAACAAGAACGTTGCTTCATCTTCGCAAATAACTTCACTGAAACTGAGGTTGTTCAATTCATGGCGTTTGCCTGGCAAATTAATGCTAATCCATTTCTCTCTGCAAATATGTAACAAGTTTAGAACTAAGGTTAAAGGATACGACTGGTCAATGAAAAGTAGTGAAGAAAACTAACCTGAATTTGATAGCCATGTACCTCTTTGACCCTAAATTTTAAAATTTTGACTCTAACTTTCAAAAGTCTTGTTACTACTTCCTTTATGTTAATCCTTTTCACAGGTGATTCTCTTGTACACTCCATAGCCAAACTCAAGATACAACCTACACATTCCTCTTTGATAGAGAAATATTCATCATCCCTTTTTAGCAAATTGGTGTCCACAACTCTCATCACTGTAGTACATAATGATTCACCAACCCAACTCTTTAAGCTCATTTCTTCAGTAAATATTTTATCCTTTGGCTTCTTCCTTGTAAATGTTTCCATTAAAATAATACCATATCTGTATACATCTCCTTTTCTTGATACTTTTCCTTCTCTCTCATAAGCTGTTTATCATCATGATGGCACTTTCATATATTGTTAGACAAATTATAGTATCCTTTTGCTAAGAAAATGAAAAATCAATAACAAACTATACATACAAAGAACAGAATTGTTGTATATGAAATAACTCATTACCTAGAGCCATATAACAAATGGTAGCAAGGGTTTGTGTTTGCATCATATACTTTTCTACCAAAATCACCCAAATGTGCAACCATATTTTTGTCTAGCGAGACATTGCTAGGTTTTAAGTCACAATGAATGATTAGGGTTGAATAACTAAAATGGAGATATTCTAAAGCTAATGCAACATCGATCATTATGGTCAACCTCTGTGAAATATCCAAAACATTGTCATTAGCATACAAAAATTTCTCCAGGCTCCCACTGTGCATATACTCCAATACCAATGTTTTAAAATCATCGCTAGAACAACAAGTGATGATTTTGACAAGATTTCGATGATGAATACTACTCATTACTTCACATTCAACTCAAAACTAGTAAAAGCTTCTTCAAATTGCTGGTAGAATACTTTTACTGCAAGCTCCATGTCATCACCAAGTCTTCCTTTGTAAATTGAACCAAAATGCCCCTTGCCAAGTAAGTTGTGCTCATTGAATCTACATGTTGCTCTAACAAGTTCTTGGTAAGAAATTCTTCTCCATGTTTCTTGTGGCGATATATCGAGAATACTACGTAGCTTTCTGTCCTTTTTGCGACATTTCAGCAACACAAATAAAAGAACTAGCACAACTAATGTGACTGTAGTGCTTAGTGACAAGATAATCAATAAGAGAACTTTCGATCTTCGATGAGCACTACTTTTGCATGGTGGAACTTTTAGCTGGGGATCAAAACCACATAATGCAAGATTCCACATAAATGAGTCACTTGAAAGATTTTCAAAACACCCTCTTGTAGGAATTTCACCTCTCAATTGGTTGAAAGACAAGTTTAGATATTTGAGGTACAAGAGGTTCTCAAAGACTTTGGAATAACTCCTGAGAGTTTGTTACTACACAAATCCAAGGATTCTAAGCTTGTCAAGTGATCAAACGTTTCAGGAATTGTGCCTTTTAATCTATTGTATCCCAAAGAAAGATGTTGTAGATTTTATAGGCTTCCAATAACAACTGGAATATTTCCAGAAAAAAGATTCCTTGACAGATCTATATATATCGCAACCTTAAGATTTCCAATGTTTGATGGAAGAGATCCATTCAGATAGTTTGATGACAAATCAACATACAAGATATCCTTAAGGTTCCACAAAGTTGATGGAATAAAAGACGTTAACCTGTTTGAACCTAAAGACAATTTTCTTAGTGTAGTGAGATTACCCAAGCATGTAGGTATGGTTCCATGGAACTTGTTTCCCAGCCTCCAAATGCAACTCAGCTAACTCATTTAATTGACAAAGATTATTTGGACTCATGAGTCTTTGTTATCCGATTGGATTCATTTGAACCATTACCTTGTTCTTGGTTGTCACCTCACATGACTCATGGTTTCCATAAGAATTCTATTCCTCTGATCTTGGTTTATACTTTAAGAGACTCATGGAATTCATTCTTTAACATTTCATAAATTTTTTCTTAAGACAACTAAATAAACTATATGCATTACCATTATGAATGCAACCATATGAAATAACATCCCCCATGCTCAATCATACTATATTCTCCTACTAAACTTCTTAACTTAATTCATTCAATTTCTCATACAATACAAGGAATTTCAATAGTAAGATTATTCAGGGGTTTATTAGAATTAAAAACAAATGGGAATTTCCATTAAGAAGGTGGATGCCATATAGTTCGTCACTTTTCAAGAAATTGTTCCCTTATCTTCTAATTCGAATTGATTTTTGGCTAAAACATAAACATTTTAGGTATATTTCTAAACTTTTTAATACTTCAAGAATCAACTCAATCAGACTTCTATAACCTCAGTTATGACTGATTCAGTGAAGCATGTATAGTATAAGTCTTAAAAAGCCAAATCTGAATTCTATTCATTTTAACCATGTCACCTTCATTGGCACATTCATATCATTTGCCATATCATTCTAAGTATAAAAGGACATAAAACCCTCCCTTTTAACAGAACCAAAAAGTACCAAAACATCGTCCAACTATAATTCTCTTAATTGGCATAATCATCCTCCATATGCACACATACACCAATCAACACATCCATTTAAACAATCCATAACCAAAACATAGCCTCACACTTATATTAACATAAATAAATGTAAGTTTCATAAACCCTAGGTGTTATCAATTGTAGTCATAAGGGAGATTTTTTTTCCTTACCTTAGTATTCAAAGCACAAAGACACTCCTCCTTAGCTCCAAAGGTTCACCATTTCTACCTTACACACATAACCACTTATGAATTTCTCTTTTAACTAAAAGATCAGAACAACTAGGGTTTTGAAACTCACCTTAACCCTGAAATTGAAGTTCTTTAAGTGTGAATGGTGATCTCCTTTGAAAATCAACTTGAAATCCTATGAAAATTTGAGAATAAAATGCTTGAATTAGTGGCTTTTATGGTGGATTTGATAGATGAAGAAGAAGATGATGCATTTGGGGTGTAAAAGCCGACTCCTCCCTCTTAAAACCTTGTAAATATTTATTCCATTGTTACTCTATTATGATTGGTCAATAAAAGTTAGATATAAGGGTCATTTGGCATAAATTTTTCATATAAGGGCATTTTGGTCATTTCCACCACAACATAAAGATTAGCACTCATTTAATGCCATTTGACTTCTTTAAAACACTTAACAATTAAGCAATCCCATTAGGTAAATGACTAGTTTACCCTTGGTGCACTTTTATGGATACTTATTTCATATGGATTTGTATGAAAAGACCATTATACCCTTGGTTACCGTTTACGCCATTTAACGTTATCAATCAACTTTATGACTATTCTACCCTCATTTCTCTTCAATGACATCACCCCTTACACTTTATAATGGCCACATCTTGAAATACATGTAAATTGACCATTTTACCCTTCCATTCAAAAAAAAGAAAATTACTTGAAAAGGTAAATTTCATACCTTAGGGCATCGGAATAATAACACGGCGTTTACATCACCTCCGAATTAACCTTCATTCCAATCAAAATTCTTTGGCTCTCATCTTGATTAACTACCGAATAAGCTTGCTTTACAGTTGGCAGAGGATTCATCAACAGAATCTAACTTTTTACCATCGAATATGAGTTGTTTAAACCAATCAAGAACTGTACTAGTTTTTGTTGATTAAGGTGTTCAAGATACGCCTTTGTAGAAATACTGTCTGGAGCAGGTAGGCTATCCAAGGAATCCAGCTCATCCCAAAGTGATTTGAGCTTATTCTAGTATATCGCCACTGTGTTACTACCTTGTGTAATTGATAATTTCACGATGAATCCCAAACACTCTAGTGCCATTAACCTTATGATACTATTCTTTCAAATCTTGCCAGACTTGTGATGCATTTGTCGAATAGACTATTCCATTAAAAATTTCTTTTGAAACAAAATTGAAGATCCATGCAAGAACCAGAGAATTACATTTCTCCCATTGTGGAACTAAACGGGCATGTACTGAAGACTTCATACATGATCCATCAACAAAACCTAGCTTAGTTTTGGCACACAACAAAACAGTCATTGCTCGGCTCCAGATTCCATAATTTTCAGTGCCTACAAGTTTCTCAAATACTAATACGGAACCTGGTGTGTCCGCAGGATGCACATAAAGGGGAAAATTAGAGTCAACTGTAGGTACTACTGATTCTTCATTTGAAGTCACCATACAATTGTCAAGAATCTTAAGCTGGAGATTAAAGAGCTTCAAATCTTCGACGAGCTTTCACAAAATGAAATCAAGTATGACTTTGAGCTTCGCAATCAAGAATTTTGAACTGGAGATTAAAGACCTTCAAATCTTCGATGAGCTTTCACAAAATGAAAACAAGTATGACTTTGAGCTTCGCAAGAGCAAAAATTGAGTATTTGATTGAATGACTTTGAGCTTCGCAAGAGCAAAAATTGAGTATTTGATTGATCCGATTTCAGATCTAAAAGCGAAAGATTTCGTGCTCTGATACCATGTTGGAGAAAGTGAGAGCACTAAAGAAGAAGAAATTTGGGGAAAATCTGTACTGCATCTATTATTCCACGTTTTCTGTTTACATATTGCAATGGTAAAATATGCAACTTGCTCAGTTAACTCTAGTTACAATTAAACCAACTAATTAACTAGACAACTAACTAACCAACTATTGAGAAGGATGGAGAATCAAAAGAGTGTTAAGTTTAAGGGGTGATATTGAAGAGAATAGAGAACCAAAAGGTGTTCAGTTTAAGGGGTGATATTGAAGAGAATGGAAATCAATAAGGTGTCTAGTTTAAGGGAAGACGTTGATAAAAGAAGAAGAAGAAGAATGTAGGCTCTCGGTTTTGAGTAGTCTGGGGTTTTCAATATTTGTAAAGTGTAATACGTAGCGTTTTAGCAATATTATAAAAACGCTGCATTTCCTGATGACTGTATATATAAAAAGACAGCTTTTCTTCCTTTGTACTCAGTTAGTTAGAAAGTAAAAATAACAGAATCCTTTCTGTAGAACTCACACGTTTCTCGCTCTGTTTTCACGTTTCTTGCTCTGTTTTTCTGCGTGTTTCTCTTCTAGAATTTTCTCTTCATCTTTGAAACTTTTCATGGTATCAGAGCCCTAGACTAACGTCTAAGGTTGATCTTTTGCTTAAACTCCTCTGCAAATTTCTTTCTTTTTCTCTTCAAACGAAGAAAAAAAAAAATGGAAACTGGACCAGTTGCTGTACAAGTCCAAGCACGTTACTTACCTTGCCTTCACTCTCCGTGAAACTTCAAGAAAGAAACTACACTTTCTAGAAATCTCAAATCTTGCCAGCCTTGAGCTCACATGGTTTGGATGTCTTTGTTACTGGAGAAAAAGTATGTCCGCCAATGTTCTTAATTGTTACATTTGAAGAAACAGGAGAAAAGGTAAAGAAGTCTAACCCTAACTATTTTGATTGGAAAAAGGTTTATCAGTTTTTAGTAAGTTGGCTTCTTTCAACAATTTCTGAGTCTATGTTTAGACATGTTGCTAAGTGTAGTACATCCTATGAAATTTGGAGTATTTTAGAGTTGCATTTTCAATCAGTCTCTAAGGCTAGAACACTGCACTTAAGGAACTTACTACAGACAACTAAGAAGGATTCATGTAGTATTAGTGAATATGTGCTAAAGATGAAAGAAATAGGAGATGAGTTGAATGCTAGTGGTGTAAGTATGAGTGATGAGGAACTATTGCTGTATATATTAAATGGTTTGGGACCGGAGTATGATGTTGTTATTGCAAATCTCACATCTAATAGTAGCGTTATCACTATACAAGAGGCTCAGTTCTTGTTGCACAAACATGAAATAAGATTGGAGAGGCAATATAGTGCCTATAATCACTTGAAGGATCAACTAGCTTCGGCTCTTATGGTTTCTAAACAAACTGCAGACCATAGCTTTATAGATGTTAATGCTGTCTCACAAAACAAAGGAGTCAGGCCAAGTGCTAATATGGAATCTTCAGGAAGTTATTTGATACCTCAATTATCTCAGTCTCCTGGTAGTCTAGTACAGTCTGGGAATAATCCTAGACCAGCTTTTCCTTTTGGTGGCTACCCTTGACAATACGTTCCAAAAAGTTCTCATGGTTCATTTGCTGCTCATAACTCTCCTGGAATGTATATGTTCAATCCCTATATGATGCATAGCCGAGGCAGAGGAAGGGGCTAGTTTAGACCAAAACTGATATGTTAGGTTTGTGGTAAAGGATGACACTCTACAGTTAATTGCTATCAT